ACATTTATTTTTCATATTGCACCAGTACAGTTAATGAGCAACCTGTACTTGTGTGCTTGTTTGTTCTGTCTAAAATGTTTATTTTATAATAAAGAGGTTAATGTACAAAATATTTTTTGTCCGATTCATCGATTAATCGAAAAAATAATCGTCCGATTATCGATTTTTAAAATAATCGTTAGCTGCAGCCCTAGCACAAACTAAACTGTTCATGATTTATTCTTTATGGTACATCAGCATTCATAACATGTAGGCGAATCACTGTCCCTCAGACATCCGTGGAACTGTAGATCCTTTCTCCCTCTCCTCCCCATCAACATGTGTTTTAGAAGACTTGGTTGCTCTAACTATATACTGCCACAGTTTGCATACCGATTAAGTTTTTGTTAGTTGGCGGTGTGCTCTCTGTACATGCGTCTGTCGGCGTGTGAGGAACAGAGGGGGGATTTCTAAAATAAAATGAAAGGATGTGACTGAAGTGCAACTGTAGTTTAAACATTTACTCGCCTTGTGGCCAATGGTGCTCTGGCCTTAACTCACCAAATGAAAAAATGTTGTCGCCACTGGTAAGTGTTAATTTCACACCCTGGATGAGGCGTTTCCTCAGGCTCTACAATCACTTCTGATGAAATATTTGTTGTGTTTTGGTTCTATTTTTTATCAACATGGAAGAAAGACATGTTTTTTTCACTGCAATGATCATTTATGAACAGAATGATGAGCGGGTCTACTGGTGTCCTCAGCTCTACAGCGAGATTCACATTCAGCAGATGTTTGCAAAGCTGTTCATTGACAGGAGACCTCATGATAAACATGTATATCCATGTTCACTGCTGCAAAGAACATCTGCTGGAAGAACTCACATGTTATACACATCTGACGATCAACAGAAGCTCTTAGCTCTGCTAAAACTAACACATCATTTTCTTTTTCTGCCCAACTAGAACCTTCACAGGATCATGATCGGATAGTGAAGAAGGTTCGCTTTGACCATAAGCTCTGTAACCAGGACGCCAGCATCGGTCCAAATCACACGATACAGAGTGCTGGACCTGCCCGGGTCAAAGAAGAACCAAAGGAACCAGAAGCTCTAACGGTTCAAGAAGAGAAACTCTGTGTTTCTGAGGCAGAGGAACAGCGTGTGTTTAAGAACGAGGTGGATTTCTTCTTGGTGACGGCTCCTGATGAGGAACCAGAACCAAACAGGTACAGACTCGCCTCTTTGGGTCCTGAAGCTGAAAACCAGAACCAGGCAGGTACCGGCGATGCTTCTGCTCAGACAGCTGAGAAGTCTGTGAGTTGCGACCTCTGCGGAAAGGCTTTCAAGCACAGCTACAAGATGAAGATCCACAGGAGAACCCATACAGGGGAAAGACCATTCTCCTGTAAAAACTGTGGAAAACGGTTCATGAGGAGTTCTGGTTTGTCGGTGCACATGAGGATCCACACAGGACAAAAACCGTATTCCTGCAAGACCTGTGGGAAAAGATTTACTCAGCTCAGCAGCCTGAACTACCACATGAAGACACACACAGGTGAGTCACCCAGTTCTGGTCAGGCCTCAGATGCTTGGGATATGGAGCTAGATGTTCCAAACAGAAGGTTCGGCCAGAGGGGTTCTGTTAAATGCAGATCGTTCCGAACCATGTTTATAGTAACAAAACAGAATATTTTTTTATTTCTCTGTCCAGATGTTCTGCAGCAGGAGAATCAAACAGAGGAGGCTCTGTGTATCCAGGATAGGAGCTCCAGTTTGGACACGGCAGAACCAAAAACTCAACAGGCAGGGAATCAGGAGACAAAGCTCTTTATGCTCGAACCTGATCAACTCCACTATCAGAAGTCTGCTAAAGTTGAGGATCTGGATCAAGACAGTCTGGTTGATAGCGGATGTCCTCTAGAGGGTCAGTCGAAGAACTGCCCCACCGATGGTGATGTGGAGAGAGGTTTGTCTGGGCAGGGTCCGATCGGTGCGCCGATGGCCAAGAGGTCTGTGAGGTGTGATGTTTGTGGGAAAGCTTACAAGCACAACTACGAGATGCAGGCTCATCGGAGGACCCACACAGGAGAGAGACCGTTCTCCTGCAAAATCTGCGGCAAAGGCTTCATGAGAAGTTCTGGCCTGGCTGTCCACACCAGAATCCACACGGGTCAGAGACCATATACATGCAGAATATGTGGGAAGAGCTTCACTCAATTGAACAGTTTGAATTACCACAGAGGAACCCACTTAGGTGAGAGCAACGTGCATTGAAGATTCCGGAGATTCATTTCACAAAGCTGGTTTTGATAAAGCAAAAAAAAACAAACAAACAAGAGTCAAATAAAGCAGATAGATAAATGAATAGTGAAGTATTCAAATTCATTTTAAAATACATTTATTTCTAATTCATTTAAAAGGTTGATGTTTTAATGGCTGTGTGGAGAGCCAAAGCACATCACAACAAATGTACCATTAAATTAGTATTTTAATGGTACATTTATTATGATGTGTTTTGGCTCTCCACATGTAGTGGATATGGAAAGTTTTCAGACCCCTTGATATTTTTCTCTTTGTTTTATTGCAGCCATTTGCTAAAATCAATTAAGTTAATTAAATTTCTCTTTAAAGAACACTTAGCGAATCCTCCTTGAAATTAGGGCTGGGCGATAATTCAATAACGATATATATCGATCGATAGACGTGTGGCGCGATAGAAAAAAAAGAGAGTTGATAAAAAAACGCAGTTTTCCTTCCTTCTCAGTGTAGCCTAGCATGTAGGTTTATGCTAGTCACTACTTCCTCCTAACCAATCGCAATCGCGGACCCAGACACGCCATCACAAAGCGCCGCCCTCTCAAACCACAACACAGAGCACATGAAGATGTCGCAGCAAGGAGAGGCGGAGGAAATTGTTCCAAAGAAGGGTTTTTGTAGTTCGCCAGTATTTCGGTTACGGCAAGTCGGACAAAAATTGAACCACAGTCATCTGTAAAAT